GGTTTTGTATCATGTTGTTCAGGTTTTTAATGCCTGAACACCGAGCAAAGTCTAGTTTTTGTAACGAAAAGGGAATTGACCCTGGCTCTCCTGTGAGGAACGTGCTCCCTATAAAATGATAAAAGGAGGAACCTGGAGAGGGCAGCGAGGGCTCTGCCCATTGCAAAATGCAGGAGAGGGGAGGTTGCCTGTGACTCCTGGACACCCAGCAGCTTTGTGGTTCCAGGTGCTGGCTGGTATTTTTGGAGAGCTGTGGAAGCCTTTGCACTTTTTGATGTTATTTTCTGGCACACCAAGTAAGGAAAAAACACTCCACTTGCTTTTTTGGCCAAGTGACCAGAGTGCTGCTAGAGTGCCTTTAGTTTTGATGTTGGTTTTTTTTTCCCTAGGATTTTCAGAGCCTGATTTAGCCAAGTTCTTCAGTCCATGCTTATTTTTAAACCTAATCCTGTCGCTGTCTGACATCACCATGCTTCAATCCCACCAACATCCGTGGGCTTGGGCAAGCACTTGGAATTCAAGCAGATGCTGAAACACTTTGCTCACTGACAGGTGTGAAGTTGGGAGGACCTCATCCAGGGAGAGCAGGGTCAGGAGGGAGATGAGGCACCTAACATCCCACTTTCCATCCATGGGATGGTGTTAGACTCATCCCTCTGTTCTTATTCCCTGGCACCCAAACCAGAAAGGACCCCAAAGCCCCTCCATGGGCAGGAACACCGTCCAATATCCCAGCTTGCTCCAAGCCCCATCCAACCTGGTCTGAAACACTTCCAGGGATGGGGCAGCCACAGCTGCTCTGCGCCAGGGCCTCATCATCCTCCCAGGGAAGATTTTTTTCCCCAATATCCAATCTAAACCTACTCTCTTTCCGTTTGAAGCCATCCCCCCTTGTCCTGTGGATATAGGATTATGTGTTTTCTTGGGAAACAAAATACATGTTTCCTGGGGGCAGGTTCAAGGACTAAACTTTAACCCTGTATCTTCCAAAAAGTCGTGGTTCCAAGGTGTCAGCTAAGCTTTGTGTCCTGGCTGGTCAGTGATTTAGGAGCTGTAGGTGGGCTCAGGGGGAGGGTTTGGGGGCCCAGCCCTGCTCTGGCTCATCTGGGAGCTGTCAGTGCTGCTGACAGGTGGATGGACACCTAATCCCAGCATTTTTCCTGTGGCAGCCAGCCTGACTGACACCCCCTTTCCCCCACCTTCCCCGTGCTCACGAGCCATGCAAGGAAGGGGATTTTCACTTGGAGTCAGTGACTCCCCGCCTTCTTGTTGCTTTTCCTTGCTTTTAGTTTTTCTTGCCCTTGGGCAGGGAGCAGAGGTGAGGATCTGCTGCCTCCCCTTGCCTTCTCTACCTCAATGCTTTATTGTGGCAGGGAAAAAACAAATCAAAATAGAAAACAGCTACAGACATGCTGTTTAATTTTATACCCCTCTTACATCTCTTTTGTGTTTTTTCACCTTATAAAATATCTTTTTTCTCCCTATTTCCGCTATTTCTCTCCCTCCCCTTTTTTTTCTCCCCTTCTCTTTCATCATCTCTTCCCCCCCTTCTTCTGTATTTTTTCTCTCCTTTTCCTCTTTCTTTTCTTCTCTCCTTTTTTCTCTTTTCCCTCTTTTCCCACTTTTTCTCTTTTTTTACCTTTTCGTTTTTTCACTTTTTCTCTCTTTGCACTTTTCCTGCTCTTTTCTCTACTTTTCTTTTTCCTTCTGGTATTTTTCTCTCCTCTTTTTCCATTTATCTTTTTCTTTCCTCTCATTTTTCCTCTATTTCTATTTTACTCTTTCCATCTCTTTCTTTTTCTCCTTTTTCCTCTATTTCTCTTTTCCCCGTTTCCCCTTTTCCTCTGCTTTTTCTCTCTCTTCCTTTCTTTTGTCCTCTTTCTTTTCTCTCCTTTCCCCGTCTTTCCTCTCCTTTTCCCTCTCTCTTCTTTTTCCTCCATTTCTCTTTTTCTCCTCATTTTCTTTCTCTTGCTTCCATCTCTCCATCCCCTGCCTTTCCTCTTTCTCCTCCCTTTTCTCCATTCCTTCTCTCTTCTTCTCTTTTTCCCTCTTTTTCTCTCATTTTTTCCATTCCTCTATTTCTCTTCTCCTCCTTTTTCTTTTTCCTCTTTTCTTCTGCCTTTTCCTCTCATTTTCCCTCTTTTTTCTCTTTCTCTCCATTTCTTTCTTTTCCCCCTTCTCTCCTCTCTTCCTTTTTCTTCTCTGTTTCTCTCTTTTTCAATCCTCTTTTTCCCTCCTTCTCACTTTCTCTTTCCTCCTATTTCCCTCTCTCTTTCCTCCTATTTTCCCTCTCTCTTTCTCCTCCCTTTCCCCCCTTCCCTCTCTATTTTTCTCCATTTCCTCCTTTTCTCTCATTTTTTCCTCCTTTTTCGTTTTCCTCCTTCTGGTTTTTCTCTCATTTTCGCTCTTTTTTTCCTCTCCCGTTCCCTTTTTTGTCTTCTTTTGTCCTCCCTCTATTTCTCTCTTTTTCCTCTCCATTTTTCGTCTCTCTGTTTCTCTTTTTCACTCCTCTTTTTCTCTCTTTCCCTGGCTTCCACTCTCTTTCCCTTGCTTTTCCCTCTCTCTTTCTCCTCCCTTTCCCCCATTCCTTCTCTCTTTTTCTCCCTTTTCCTCCTTTTCTCTCCCTTTTTTCTCCCTTTCTCTTTTCCTCCTTTTTCTTTTTCCTCCTCTGCCTTTTCTCTCATTTCCTCTCCTTTTTCCCCTCTCCTTTTTCTTCACTTTCTCTCCTTCTTTCCTTTTTCTTCACTTTCTCTCCTTTCCTCTCCTTTTTCTTCACTTTCTCTCCTTCTTCCCTCTTTCTCTTTTCTCCTTCTTCCTTTTCCTCTTTTCTTCTGTTTTTTCTCTCCTTTTCCCTCTTTTTCTCCCATTTTTCCTCTCTCTGTTTCTCTCCTTCTCTCCTTTTTCTCTTCCTTTTCCCTCTCTTTCTCTATTTCTCTCTTTTTCACTCCTCTTTTTCTCTCTTTCCCTGGATTCCATCTCTCCTTCCCACACTTTTCCCTCTCTCTTTCTCCCCCCTTTCCCCCTTGCCTCTTTCTCCTTTTACTTCCTTTTCTCTCCTTTTCCCCTTCCTTGTCTTTTTTTCCTCTTCTCCTTTTTTTCTCCTTTCCCCTTCCCCCCCCCTTTTTTCTCTCCTTTTCCCTCTTTTTCCTCTTTTTTCTTTCCTTTTCTTCTCCCTTTCCCTCTTTTTTCCTCTCCTTTCTCTCCCTCTTTTTTTCTCTTTTTCTTTCCTTTCCCTCCTTTTTTTCCTCTCCTTTTCCCTCATTTTTTTTCTCTCCATTTTTCCTCTCCTTTTCCCTCCCTCTTTTTCTCTCTTTCCCCCGTTTTTCCCTCTCTCTTTCTCCCCTCATCTCTCCCCGTGTCCCGTTATGATTCCCTCTCCTACCCCACCCGTTCGCGGGGACCCGCCGGGGCCGGGGCTGGGCCGGGCTCATCCGGGTCCGGCCCGGGGTTGGCCCGGGTCTGTACAGGGGCTGGGCCAGGTCTGTCCCTGGTCTGTCCCGGGGTCTACCGGAGCTGGGCCGGGACTGTACTGGGTCTGTACCGAGGCTGTGCTGAGCCGATCTGGGACAGAGTCGGGGCTGGGCCGGGCTGATTCGGGTCTGTACTGGGTCTGTACCGGGGCTGTGCTGGTGCTGGGCTGGGCCGGGTCGGGTCTGTACTGGGGCTGTGCTGAGCCGATCGGTGACCGCCCCTGGGCTGTGCTGAGCCGATCTGTGACCGCCCCGGGGCTGTGCTGAGCTGATCCCGGGCCGTGCCGGGGCTGTGCCGGGCGGATTTGTGTCTGGATCCGCCCTCGGGAGGCGGGCTCCCCTCACGGCCGCTATAAAGGGCGGCGTTGGTGGCGGGGCCGCGCTCACTCGCTCGGGCAGTACTGTCGCCAGGCCCTGAGGTAAGGGCGGTCCCCGGGGTCACAGCAAGGCCGGCCCACTCGCCTTAAGCCTGCCCCGGCTCCCTCGCGTCCCTCCGGGCTCGCACGGGGTGGGGGGGAGCCTCTTCTCCTTGTCCCCACCTGGATTGGCCGCGGCGGGAGGGTCTGGGGGAGCTCGGCCTGGGCACGGCTCGCCTGCGGGTGCCCCTGCATGCCCAGGTGTGATCCTCGGCTCCGATCCTTCCTTCCTTCCTTCCCCCGCGGTTGCTGTATGTTCTCTTCGGCTCGGAGCTGCGGCAGGGTTTGAATGTGCCGGGCTCGGGCTCGCAGAGCCCCGTGCGGGCATGGGTGTCCTCTGGTGGTGGTGGCCACCTCCTCCCGCTGGGGAGCCAAGAGTGAAGATGTGCGGGTGACAGCCCGCCCGGAGTGCCAGACAGCAATCCTGACTTTCCCTGGCGTGGCTCCTTTCCTTCTCCATTTGGGAAAGGCAAAGCCCGGCTTGCCCACAGCCCTGATCAGTCGGGAGTGCAGGAGCAGGCTGTGGGGTGCTCTGGGAAGCTCCCCAAATTGTTGAGGATTTGGACACTGCCATGCCATGCCGTGCTGGGCTGCCGTCCCAGGCAGAGATGCTGGTTTACTTTGTCACAGCCTGCAGCGGGTCCTGGGCAGGAGGTGCTATGGATGGGGAGGGTGCAGTTCTGCAAGGCTGCATCAGTTCCAGCCACTCCTCTGGGTGTCTGCAGTAGGATTTTGGGTGCTTCTCCTTTCCTTCGTGTCCTGACTCCTCTTACCAGTAGCGTTGGACTCAGCATATGTGCCTGCCAGGTGAAGGGGTGATGGCCTGCAGGAGTTTTGCAGTGTCGTGGACACAAATTACAGTCTCAGCTTCCCTGACGAGTTTTTCGGATGCTGTGCTGTCTGCAGAGAGCGCTGAAGGTGTTTTTTTAGGAGCACGGAGCGGCTGTATTGAGTTTGTCTGGTGGGTTCCTCCCGTACCTCCCAGCTAATCTGATGGGAAGCAGAGCTCAGGTTACAGCAGCTAATCCCAGACTACAGCCCGGGCTGTGGGGCTGTAATCTGCGAGCAGAGCCCTCCTCCCCGGCGGGACCTGGAGCCTGGGAGGCCGCCTCGGTGTCGGGTTTTTATTGCCGCGCTGGGGATGCGAAAGGCGCGGGCAGATGGATGCACGTGCGCGCAGCAGCCGTGCTCTCGGAGTGCAGCATCGGGCTGAGCATCCTCCGCGCTCCCTAACACCCCCAGGGCGGCTCTGAGCCGTCAGCTGCGATTGTGGTGCCGCGGTGTCCCCAGCATTGGTGTCAGCCCCAGCTTGAAGGGCTCTCTGCCGCCCTGTTGCTGCCTCTCTGTCGGAATCTGACACCCCTCAGCCAGGTTTGAGTTTCTTCTCCATGAGGTATGTGCTGGAGGCTTGCTGGTGCTGGGTGGTCACAGTCCTGTCCTGAACTGGGGCCTTGGGATGTGGAATGAGCTTGTTCCTCTTGTTTTAGACCATGTGCCTTTGCAGAGAAGCCCAGGCTCACCCATGCTACTTCTGTAGGGTGTCAGGGGGGTAGCTGGGTGTTCTTCCTACTCTGCTCCCCTTGCTGCCCCCAAATACCAGCGGGAGCTGATGGCTTTTGCCATGGGGCTGGAAATTTTGCTTTAATTGCTGCAGAGTTTTGAGGTACAGGGACTTGGGGATGGTGCTGCTTTTCCCTGTGAGTGTGACGCTTGGAAAGTGTTTGTACTGGGGATGCAGTGGGACCCTGGGTGAGATCTGGCGGGAGCCCCATCCCTGTGTCCCACTTGCAGCCCTGGGATGAAGTGAACATCCAGCGGATGCATCCAGCCGTGCTGCCTACAGCACCAGGGTGGTACTGGCAGCTCTCGAGGGGCCTGTGTCTCAAGGAGAGACGATCAACCCTGCTGCGCTGCATGGTGTGGGTTAAATCACTCTCTGCTTTCCCGAGATGGACACAGGATCGGCTGTCCCAGGATGGAGAGCTGCCAGCTCCCTCTCTAGCCAGTATTTTAGCAAAATCCAGGCTTAATTTGGTTCGAGTCTCAGCTCCGTCTTTCATCAGGCCAGCAGGATGAAAGGCACAGGCCAGATCTCCTCACGGGGCAAATTTGGGCCTGTTTGTGGAGAGATTTGATCTCCCCTGAATGGGTGCACGGCCCCTCTCATTGTTAGTGCCACCAGCTTCCCCTCTGTTGGGACAATAGTGCCTTGAGTCCTCCCGGGTAATCTTTCCCCTTATCTCCCTTCTCTTCCGTAGCCTCTGTCCCTGACAGGCAGGAGGGTGGGAGCTTTGGGAAGAGCCAATTATGCAGAAGGAGAAGGAGAGGTGCTGTGTCAACCATGGTCCCTTTTTGGGGAGAGGGGGTGAGAAGAGGATATTCAACACATTCAAGTTCTTCACTGCTCTGTGCTCCTGAAGGCCCTACTGAGAGATCTTTTGGTGGGGTCAGGGATATTTGGAGATCCCCTGTTGCTCTCTGGTCACTTGGCCACACTGGCTTTGCCCCGGGCTGGTCCCTTTCCTTCTGGGGCTGTGGTCATGGGGAAGAACAAGGTGACCATTGTTGGGGATGCTGGATGTGTCCATGGGGGGACTGGCTTACCTGACTGGCTTCACCAGCTCAGATGAAGCTGTGAGGGAGCAAGGATCCATCCCTTGGAAACCCATGTCTGAAGCTTTATTTTGGCATGTCCCAAGCTGGATCTTGTGCTCCAAAACAGTGTGGTGAGCACAGGCCTGTGGCTGTGGGTGGTACTGAGGGTCCTGGGAGGGTCCCGGGGAGGAAAACAGCATTTTTATGCCTCCCCAAAAGCAGAAGGGTCATTAGCAGCCCCACCTGGGGTTTTGTGTGAGCCATTGAAGTCTGATGGGCCTTTTCTTTCTGCTGGTGAGGAAGTTAAAAAGTTGCTTTGTCCACTGCCTGAAGGTAGAAGAAAGCATTGAAGAGGCAGCAAAAGTAGGTAGAAAAGCAGAAGGCTGGAAAGGAGACAGTGGTGGAGCCAACCATGATGGGGGAGTGTCTTGAAATCAAAGCACTTTTCTAAAAAGAAAATTTAAGCCCCAGCAGATCCACTCAGCAGTCAAGCTTCGAGGTTTTTTTTCTTTTCTAAACACTGTGTAATAATTGTTAAATGCAGGGGATAATTTGTAAAATGGAATTCGAGGAAAGGGGTGAAGGGAGGAGGGAGTAGAATTTAAGTTTGGATAGGGGTACAAAGCCCCTTAGTAACCCAGTTCTACTTAATGCAGCTGTAGCTGGGCTTGCCAAGATGCTGACCAGAGCCTGTGGTAAATGTCTTGTTGTGCCGTGTATCAGCCAGATCAATTCTACTGTGCTTGAGGGAGTGCAGATAAAATGGCTTAAAGATTCCCCTCTGAAAGCAATAGGACCATCACTTATGCCGGAGGAGACCGGTTTAGTCACCTGACATTTATTTGGCTGCTGTGCACTTTGCAGATTTCACACCCAGAGACCATAGCCAACCTGATGATGTCAGATGTGAGCTGGAAGAGAAGGAAAAATCACACGAAGTCTGGTGCTGCTCCTCTTTGTCAAGCAGATGAGCTTTGCTAAGTGTCTTGGTTGTTTTACTCCATGTAGCTCTTAAATGGAAGGTGCCTGGTGAGAGCAGGACATTACTAAAGCGGCATGTCCTGGTACGACACGGCAGCAGAAATAGCTCCATAATTTACGTCATTTCTTTCAATCTTATCTTGCCTTTAGGTCATTTGAAGTCCAGTCTGAGCGACCATGAGCGCGCTTGACTTCACTTCCATCCTGGATTTCCTGGAGACGGCCAACTTGACGGAGATCAACTGGACGTGCAGCAACGGCGAGTGCATCACGGTGGATGCCACAACATGTCCCGGCACACTCAACAAGGGCGCCCTGCTCTACACCCTGTCCTTCTTCTACATCTTCATCTTCGTCATAGGCCTGGTGGCCAACTCGGTGGTGGTATGGGTCAACCTCCAGGCCAAAATGACCGGCTATGAAACCCACCTGTACATCTTCAACCTGGCCATCGCCGACCTGTGTGTCGTGATCACGCTTCCCGTGTGGGTTGTCTCGCTCGTCCAGCACAACCAGTGGCACATGGGGGAAATCACGTGCAAGATAACTCACCTGATATTTTCCATCAACTTGTACAGCAGCATCTTCTTCCTGGCGTGCATGAGCGTGGACCGCTACCTGTCGGTCGCCTACTTCACCAACTCCAGCAGCCACAAGAAGAAGATCATCCGCCGCTGCATCTGCATCCTGGTGTGGCTCCTGGCCTTCTCCGCCTCCCTCCCGGACACGTATTACCTCAAGACAGTCTCTTCCAACAACGAGACCTACTGCAGGCCCGTTTACCCCGAAGAGAGCTTCAAGGAGTGGCTGATTGGCATGGAGCTCATCTCCGTGGTGCTGGGCTTCCTCATCCCCTTTCCTGTCATCGCCATGTTTTATTTCCTCCTGGCCAAGAGCATCTCCGCCTCCAGTGACCAGGAGCGCAAGAGCAACGGGAAGATCATCTTCTCCTACGTCGTGGTGTTCCTGGTGTGCTGGCTGCCCTACCACGTGGCTGTCCTGCTGGACATCTTCTACAGCCTTCACTTCATCCCCTTCAGCTGCCAGATGGAGAACTTCCTCTACGCCACCCTCCACATCACCCAGTGTTTCTCTCTCGTCCACTGCTGTGTCAACCCCATACTGTACAGCTTCATCAACCGCAACTACAGATACGAGCTCATGAAAGCCTTTATTTTCAAGTACTCTGCCAAAACTGGCCTCACTAAACTCATCGATGCCTCCAGAGTGTCAGAAGCAGAATACTCAGCTCTGGAGCAAAATGCCAAATGACTGCAGCCCCAGAAATTTCCTTGACTCTCTAACCTGATGTGGGTTTTTTTGTATGTTGCGGTTTGTTGTTTGGTTTTTTTTTTGTTTGTTTTTTTTTTACCCCTTCCTTTCAATGTGCTTGTTACGAACGGGGCGTGAATTCCAGCCTACAAAAGAGAGAGGACAAAGTATAATTTAAGAGTAGGATGAGTTGTGAAGTGGAAGTGGTACCAAAATGAAAACCTTTTCTCCTCCTAGCCCAGTGTGGACTCCTCAACAACGCTATGCAAATGGAATGACTTCCTAGCAGACAAAGCCATTGTGTACCATAGATAACATGGATAAGCTTCTCCTTCCACGTCTTGATTCCCTCTTGTCTCCTTGTATACGTTTATATATAGTGTGTGTTGTATTTAAAAGCTCGAGACTTTATTTTCTGCCTCTTGGTGTACCTTATACAAGTGTATTTGAAAGTTAAATATATTTTTATCATGTATTTGAAGTATATTGTTGATGAGTGTATCCAGAGTGCTGTAGTCTGAGTGTTTGGCTCCAAGAGGATGCTGACAAATAGGATGGAAATGATCTCTTGGGAGCATCCTCCCTGGCTGGCACACTTTATGGACCGTGGCTTTATGTGGTGTCACACCCACATGCTGGAACATGAAATATATGTAGTGTAATATAGCTGCCATCATGTTAAAATTAACAGTATTGTCAGAGTCCTTAACTCCTCCACCCCTGCTTCACCAGCCTGTATCCTCCTGCACAGAGTGAGTGATCTTACTGCTGAGAGTTGTCTCTATTTGTAAGTTATTTTTGTAAAATAAAGATCTGAGGAAAAAATCAAAACACCTGTGCCTAGTAGTGATTTGAATTGCCAGCCTTTTCGTCAGGGGAAAAAAAAAGCCAAAAAGGAGGAATCTCAAGGCCACCCTCTGTCCTTTGGTGCAGGAGCAGACAGGTCAGTCAGAGTTTTACTGGTGGCCAGAAAGAGCTGATGGAGGAATGGGAAGTGGCACTGGAGTGTGGTGAGCAGGGATAGAGTGGGAGGAAGTGGGTCTGTGCTGGTGGGGAAGGTGAAAGTGATGGATTTATAAGGTAAAAGCTGCTAGGAATGATGGAAAGCTGTGTTTGTAGCTTAGAAATAAACAGGGAAGGAAAATACGGAAGTGTGCAGATGGAGCAGATATTTGGACTAATCCAGGTTCAGCCCTCTGTGGTTTTTGCTGGTGATAGAAGTAGGGGGTTAGCAGTCCTGACAGCACTAAATCCCTTTTTATCTCTTCTTCCCTTTGTTGTGGATTTGCAATGCCCTAGTGTCCGAGTGTGGGGCAGGATCCAGGCGCTGTGGGATGCCTCAAGTGGAGCTTTAAGCCAGCAAAGGACTTGAACCATGGTCGTGTTCACCTCAGGACAAAGTATTTAATGCCAAATCAGTGATGTCTCCCAGCCGTGTGTGCTGCTCCAGGGCAGTGCTCCACTTAAATTCCTCTTCAATCCAAGCATGCCCTCATCCCTCTGTGATCCCAGAAGCCAAACAATTTGGGAATGGCTCTATGTTGTTTCTTTCTACACGTTCCATTACTGTGTCCTCAAAGGTCATCCTGTAAAAACAGATGCTAAGTCTGCCATCCCCTCCTCGTACTGCTGTTGCTAGAAAAACACCAATCAGTTCCGAAATGGGGAGAAATCCCAAAAGAAAAAGGAATTCTGGTTGCAGAGAAGCTGTCAGGATGGAGTGCAGGCGTAGCTTTCTGTGCTGGTGTTGTCTTGTATACTGTGGATATTTTGACCTTCCTGTAAACCTTAAGATGCTGCAGAACTGCAAGGAAAGTTCTCTCTTGTGCTGACACTTGAAATTGGTTAATGCTGAGAAATGGATCCCCTGCTCTAGCTGGGCATTGGTTCCCTTCCCTCAGCATCCCTGTGTGCAGCTGTGTGTCCTCCCCAAAGGTGCTGGATACAGCTGTGGCATCCTGCTCCTGTCCCCCTGCGGGGTGTTGCTCATTTCAAAGCAGCAGAAGTGTTTCAGTTCAGGTTCCCTCTCAGGCAGTGGGCTGTTCTCACGTGGTACTGTAGCTTTACACTGGCAGAAACTCACAGAATTTTTTTTTTCCCTCTGCAGTTTGGTATTCACAGAGCGGCGTCAGCCCTGCACATAGCCCGGGTGGTGCTGAGTGTTGGGGAGATCCTGCAGACCTGCTGCTTAAACCACACTGATAAAGTCTCCAGGCCTCTTCCTTGGGGAGGTGAATCGTGGTGTGATGATGCCTTTTCCAAAAGCAGGGTCAGACAGGAAGCAAGGAAAGGTCAGGGCCATGACCCTTGCTGTCAATACTGTGCATGCATGGATCCTTTCCAGCTCCTTGATGGGAAAACCTGGAGCTGAGGACTCACCTTGTCCCTTGAAAGGAGAAGTGGAACTTGGAGGCAGCACCCCCCACAGCAGCAGTTTGGGAAGTGGGAACACTGTCCTTTCCAGGGATTGGCACTGCTGAGTGGCCCTGAGGTGGCCATGACTGTGGGAAGCGGGGTAGTGGGCAAAGGATGGGAAATGGGTGGAGTGCAGAGCAATGCATGGGGACAGGAGGGATGGAGTTTGTGATTGTCATGTATTTCTCATTTGGACTTTGGTTTCATGCTAAAAATTCTCAAAAATCAAACTGGCAGAAGTATAATAGCTAAGAAACTATTCTCTGTTCTAGGAAGCTTTTCTCCTGTGTGACACAATACTCCAGCTGGTGCTTGTACTAAGACCAAAGTGTGAATCCTTGGAGACTGAAATGAGGGAATTTATCAGCAGATGGCAGGTGAGTGAAAATAGGTGTCTTCTGTGATGTGGCTGTGACTTAGAGTGATTGATGTGATGGCTGCTTGTCACTTTGTTTTGTCACAAATGTCCTGAGCCTGGGACTTGGGGTGTTTAGGAAGAATTTCTTCAAGGAAAAGGTTGTCAAGCATTGGAAGGAGCTGCCCAGGGGAGTGATGGAGTCCTCATCCCTGGAGGTGTTCAAGGAAAGACTGGACATGTGCTCTTGGCTGTGTGACAAGGTAGGGATTAATCACAGCTTGATCTTGGTTGGAAAAGGCCTCCCAGCCCATCAACATGATTCTGTGATTCTGTTTTATGAAGAATCTTCTGCATCTTCTCATGAAGATTCTTCTTTATGAAGAATCTTCACTTCTTCCTGCTGTGGCTTTGCGGCCTGCTGTGCCTGGGGATCTCCCTTGTTCCTCTGACAGCTGCAGATGTCCATGGGGATTCAGCTCTTGCCTTTTCCAGGAGGTCAGATTCACTGTGTTAAGGCTTGGCTGGAAAAATGAGTACAAATCAAACATAATCCATAACCTGGAGCGAGTCCTCCTGCTTGACTCTTGGGCTTTCTGATGAAAGCATCTCCACGTGCCTCGGAGGCAGGCACTGAGCAAATAAAAATACATCTGCTCGGTGAGAAAGGCTTTATTTCTCTTCTTCCATAGAAAGTGCAGTGCTGCTTTATTGTTCCTTAAACACAGCTTTCCTTTTATGAGCCATAAACCACGTTCAGGTGTAGCACAGTGACTTTAAATCAGCTCCTCTGGCATTATGCAGATAATGTACTGTAAGAAAACCCAACTGGCCCCTTTCTCCTTGTGCTAATTCATGGTTTCAGTGCTGCTGACTTTAGGTACTCTCCTTTCACGAGTTCATTGAGCATAAAAGCCAGTTAAAATTCCTAAGAAGCAAGAAATAACTCAGCTGTGAGCAATATTGAAGCACGTGGGGGTGGGGGCAGTGCTGCCAAAGCCCAGCTCTTAATTCTGTTTCTGAGAGTTTCTCCATGACAAGAGTGGAGCTGGTACTTTAAAAAGTGAAGGGGTGTGGGGCTGAGCAGGGCATGATGTGATGGGGATGGGTTTTGGGGGGAATTGGTGTGTGCAGAGCCCAGGGTTTGCTTTTAGGCTCCCTGCTCCATTAGGATGTGTGGCTGAAGAGCATCTGAGCCAGTCTGCTCCGACTGACACCCCAGATTTACAGTAGGATAATGCTGCTGATTTAAAAGGAGCTCTCTGGGATTTATAAGGCTTTTTATAAGCAGGATCAGGAATTTTAGCCATAATCCTGTGCAAATGTATGGGTGTGAGTGGCGACGTGTGCATCTGCATGGCTAATGCAGAGTAATACCAGAACTCAGAGATGAAATCACAGCAGAGGATAACCATGGCAGTCTGCTCCCACAAAAGTACTTGCATTAAAGGGTGATAATGGGATCCAAACCAGGCTCCCAAAGATCCTGGCATGGATAAGCCAGCTGTAACTCTAAAATATGTGACTGACGCTCCAACACCTACTGTAAGGAGAAAAATCAGCCTCCTTCCACTTTGGTAGTTGCTGTTTGGAAACAATTCTTTTTTTGTTGTTGTTGGGGGTTTTGTTTGTTTGTTTGTTTTGTCTTAATCTCTTTGTTTTTATTGTGTGAAATACATGCAAGGCCTTAGCTAAAGGAAATGCTGTAACCTCATAATGCCAAGGAGATAGACAACATCCTATTGATGTGAATCCAGGGAGACCCCTCAATCCTAAATACTGAGCAAGATGGCTCAGAGGAAGGCTTTTGGGGGATTTTACCTTACTAAGCAGGTACAAGAAAACACTGGGAAATCAACCAGACCCTCTGCAGATGATGCTTCTTGTCATCCTCTGGTTTGAAGCCAGCTCTGGTGATGGATGGTGCCTCTTGCCTTTAGGTTAAGGGGGGAAAAAAAGCCCAAACCTCTCTCGTGTTTGCTGTCTGTACTTCCAGACTAAAGAAAAAGAGTTAAATTACACTTTAACAGAACAATACTGACTACAGCAAAGGTCAGGAAACTTTTACATAAGGTCACCCTATCGATTGCAGCAGTGAAAGGAGAGACATCAAATACTTGGCCATGAAAGGCTGAAAAGAAGTAAATTCAGCATGAGATATTGAAACCCAAGCCTCTTTCATATGTGGCAGAGCCTCTGACATAGCAGAGGTTTACTGTTCAAGCTGAGATATGTTGCCTTGCCAACATATATTCTGAGTTACCCAAGCAGATTTAATGTTTTTGCAGTGGTGACTTCTCCCTTTTTTTTTTTTTTTTTTTTTTTTTTTAGGGGGGCGGGGCGGGGCAGGGAACGCTTTTCTTTTTCTTTTCAAAAAAGAAAAAAATTGTTGCAGAAGATTTCAAACCTACCTAGGAAATGACCTTAATCAATTTAGTTCCACCGATGAGTATGAAAACTCAGATCTTTCTTTTTGCTTTCTCTGAACATTGTCTTGCCCACATTGAGCAGGGTGACCGAGTCACAGCTTGAGAGAAAAGTGTGTTTTGTTTGTTGTTTTGTTGTGGGTTTTTTTTTATCCATCCAAGTGGCAGCTCTGTTTTGTCCAAAAGGATTGACGTGACTGACAAGTGTTTTGAATTTCTAAGCTCCGAGGTCTCCAAATGCATGAAAAGCGAGTGACACACACATAAAAATGTAAATCTTTGGAGAACAAGCACTAACTACACACAAAAAACATAACAATTCTGCAAAAGGGTGACAGACGCTGCATTCATTCTGGGGTTTTTTTTCCCCCCTCCCTTTTTCTTTTTAATAAGCCAGTGTTTCTGGGCCACCTACAGGCACATTTGTGTCTCCTGCAGTGGGGAATCAGATGCACAATAAGGCAAAGTCATGGTTGTACGTCAGGGTGGGTCTTTCTGCAGCTTCCATCGTCACCAGTTCCCCAGTATCTGTTCCCATCAGCTCCATGTCCATCGGGGTCACTCCCTGATCTTGATCCAACAGGCACACAACACTCCAATGTCGTCATTACTTGGGGCTTGGGCTGTGG